TAATAATATATATATATATATATATATATATATATATATATATATATATAACATACATACATACACTTATCGCATTTTTTATTAAGTTTAATTAATGTTTATATTATATTATATAATTTAATTGCTATTTAACATTAGTATGCACTGCAAATGCAAGCACTGTAAATTTATTTTCGATTCAATTGTAAGAGGAAATAAATTCAATATGTTGCATTGGTCATTTTGATCCAAAGTTTAATTCATTACCGTTTTTGAAAAGTCAGTTAGTTGCCTTATTATTTTAATTAAATTAGATAAACAGCATATCTTCATTTCTAGAGAGGTGTTTGTCATAATACATACATTTATCGCTCGAGTAGGTCGATCGAATATGTTGGCATATTCATGTCAGCAACTCTCAATTACAGTTTTGATTACCGCGAAAGAATGGATTGTAAAAGTTACTTTGTATCTTAAATAATGTATACAGACGAGGTACAGTTTGATACGATATGTTGCGTATCGATCATCGGAGTAATAGAACAAACGCCGACTATAGTATGGCTGGCTCGAAAATAATAGCTATTATTACCGTCATTATCACGATTGTAAATACACTTGTTTAAAATTGGCTCTTTCTTCTTTTCGTGTTTATTATCAACTATTGTTATCAACTAGGATATCATATTATATTGCCACAATTTTGAGAATTCTTTGATTTTAATTATTCTTTTTTATTATCTAAGTGATCAAAAATAGACTATTGTGTGTTTCAGAAAGTAAAGTTATATGGATATTTGGATAGTAATACAAAGGACTCGCGAATCGCAATTCTATGCATAAAATAACGGATAATAATAAACGCCGTTATCTCATTTTCACAAACGTGATCAAATCCGTTCTGCAAGAGATCCGATTATTGTTATAAGGAAGCAGGAGATTTTGTTTTCGTTCATTAGTAATAAAGAGTTGTGCGAGCACGATGGGTGCGAGAGTCCGTAACGGGGAAAAGAGTGGAACAATGTCAACAGATTTGAAATCTTCTAAAGCACAATGTCAGCGGACAGCGCCGAAATGTGGGCGATGTAACGTTCATGGAGTATACGTTGCGCTCAAGGGACATAAAAGATATTGCAAATACAAACACTGCGATTGTCCAGCATGCTACATTTTTTTGGCACAACAGAGAATATCAGCAGACAAGATAGCTATGAAAAGAGCGCTTGATTTGAGTGCGAAGAAAGAGATATTACCTCAAGAGGTTAGTCTTTCTTCATTTTTCAAGGCACGAGGCCTGATAATGGAAAATTTGTAACCATTGCGGTTGCGAAAAAAATGACCAAATATTCGTAAGCTAATTGGAGACTGAACTTGTTTGTTAATTTTATTAAAGTTTTCTCAATCTTCTTCTTCAAATTTGTTCTTTATGTCATCAGCAAAATTTAATGCACTGATACATTTGTTTGATATATTATGTTTGTGTTTGAAAACGTAAATGCAAATTTGAAACGAAAATTATATCAATAGTAAAATCGACAATACTTGTTGTTATTTTAAGTTAATATTGCTGTGAACATTATTTGCAAATTTTAAATTATTAAAATTTGTAGAAGAAGAATTAGAATTTATTGCGGATTTTAAATAAGAGTATGTATATCGCTCGTTAGTGTGAATAATTATGCAGTTAGGGCTCGGATTAAATTAGTTTCTTGGTATTTATTGAATTTAATTTAATTCATATTCCATATAAGTATTAAAACATTAAAACTGCAATAACTTTTATCAAATCATAACTTCGAAAGGATGTGTAATTAATTTTTTAATTATACTGATTCATCCTTTTAATTGTTATTTTTGACAACAATTATTCTCCAAGTATAAACAAATTTTTATTGTGTATTATTTTTACTGTGTATTATTATGTCTTACGTTTATCGCAGCCGTAATGTATTTTTCATTATCTGTATATTATAATCGTTCTTTTCCTAGTAGGTACCCCCATCACCTATATTTTCTGCAGTCGGGAAAAGACGTAAGTAATTCTGACAAATTATATATTACATAGTAAATAGTAAATGTATATTTCTAGATGATAGTCAATGCCACTGATTTTAGTCAATACTTCTAGATGAGACAAATAAAAATTAATTTATCATGTATACCGAAATTTAAAAGATTTGTAAACGTATATGTAATTGTAAAAATGAAGATAAGATTTGTCTCATTATGAATTTCAATTTAGAATTAATGCATTAATTATTCAAGTTACATTAAATATCGAGATTATACGTATTTTAATTTGCATATATTTGTGCAATACTTTTGAAATAATTCTCAGAATATTGCGCAAATGCATGTTACTGTGCAATTAGTATAATAAAAAATTATTACTGTAAGTATGAATAAAAAAATCATACAATATTTATAGATAAGAGTATTTATGCTATCTGCAGCTGTCATATAAATTAAATTAAAATGCATAATTATTTCGTGTCTATGTTGAATCACGGTCAACTATTCTTATTCGCGGCGATGACGATATGTTTTGTAGCAACACTCGTTGCGACACGTGAATCGGACGAGTTTTTTACGGATAACGTTCAATACATTTATGCACAAGATGTAGTTTGTCTGACATTTGAATATCTCGCACAGATCGTAGTAACACTTATAACGCATTATTTAGTCGACATATCGCGACCTTTGCATCACGATGTGATGAGTGGCATTTTGTAACGTGATTACGCGAGCTGGAACAAAGAAGTTTTAATCAAATCACAGATATATCATGATTGTAACATCGTCTGAAGATGTTGGGGTTCAACATATAAAGTTAATACAGACATTATATATATATAAATGTCTAATTTACTTGGATCGCGCGTTTGTTTTATAAATCTAAAAATTGTGGTTTCTAAAAGACAGCAAATAATTGTCCTGATCTCTGACAATTATTTGCTGTCTTTTAGAAACCACTTTAATATAATATAATATTATATAATCTTTAGGGAAAATTTTGAATGTAATAAAATGATAATTATTGAATGATTACACAATACATGTTTTTCATATGTAGGTTAGCGAAACAGCTTTCTTGATGAGCTTGTGTTTCTCAGATTATTTTGTTAGATCGATACAACGTATAGACGAGACACTGACTGCTATCGCACAGTCCTATTTTGCTGATTTGAATAAAACTTATTCTTATCTTATGCTCTTATCTATATACAACATACATCTAACTATAATTCGAATTTAAGTTTATTTCCTGTATACAAAAAATTGTAATTTTATAACTCTGGAGAGAGAGAGAGAGAGAGAGAGAGAGAGAGTTAACTTTATAATAAAATTAAATTTAATTACTTAC